ATTTCGTCTCCCCGATTCCAGCGAGGAATAAGTTTGTCTTTATGTTTTATATTTTATCTATGCTTTGAAGTTTCTTAAGCGGTTGGATTGGTTTTGCAGTGTAGGGTTACTAGCCCTGTGTTCAACCTTCCCTGTTTTGCGGTCTTAGAACCATCTAGTAAACTAGTGAACTGGTAAACTAGGCGAGGTTTCATGGATTTGTAATAGACTAGTTTCGGTTCGTTAGACAGATAGTAGGGCTTATAACTTCGTGATAAATGATTGTTTCAACACAAGAAATTTTGAAATATCACAAGCAAATGAAGAGTGCAACATATGACCCACCACCTAGGTGAATTGGAAGGAGAAATAATTGAACATACTGAAAATATATCATGGACGGACATCAGTTAGAGAAACACTGGAAACCTGAAAGCAGCGGACAGCTGTTTCGGCCTAGCGTTGGACTTCTGAGCAGTTCGCACCCACAATTCCGCCAGGGATGTGACCCAGGACCTTTAGGTTCCGCGGCGAACATTTTCGCATTGAGGTACTGGGTTACGCTATGTCATGAACTGAGAGAAGTAAGAAATGTAGACCATTCGATTTCGATCCACTGGCTCAGTGGCAGCGCACTGACTGCGAACCTGAAGGTGCTGGGTTCGATCTGTGGTGAGGTCAGGGGTGTGCATTGCTGAGGAGTCCCATGCTAGGATGAAACAGTTGTCCATGGCTTCCAGGATTTCAATGGTTCTCCAACTGATGTCAGTCCATGATGAATACAGACCTGAAATAAATAAATAATTCCCCATTAACCTCCATGCTGAAGATGGATAAGGAACATACCAGAGACTTCGAAGAGCGTCATGAAAGAATGCAACACACGTGCTGCATTGCTTCTAAGAATTTCTCCTTAAAGAATTCAGAACAAAATTTTACCACTGTGTAGTTATCTTCACACAGTCAATTTTGAAACAGAACTGACAGTCCTAAGCTTCTCAAGAAATGGTTGTATCTTCATGTGAAGCTCACAGATTTCTTCCGTTGCACTGCCACCTTAGCTTCTACAACCTTCAATAAAGGTACTTTCCACAATATTTCTGTTATCCTTGTGTATCGCTGTGAATTACGCAGTACTCCTAAGGAGTTTAATGGATACTGGAATCTTGGTATTAGTAAATTTATTGATTTAGCATTAACCATATGGACTTGTAAAACCTCGCCTGGTTAACTAGTTCACTAGTTACTAGCCGGTCCTAAGCCCGGGTAAAGAGGGAAGGTTGGGCATAGGGCTAGCAACCCTACACCGGAAAACAAATCTAACCGCTAAAGAAACTTCAAAGCACAGACAAAAAACAAAAGCAAAATTATTCCTCGCTGGAATCGGAGAGGCGAAATGACGCCGGTTGATGAAGGCCTTCGGGAAGCCAATCGACCGATGTGTCTTCTCTTCTCTCAATGAAAGCAAAAGTAAGCATGATGACATGGAATGTCCGCACAAAGTTTGAACCTAGCAAGGCTACACAGATTGCAAAAGAGATGAGGAGGTATGGCATTCAAGTGCTAGGAATCGACGAGGAATCTGCAGATGGAACGGAAGTGGATTCTCCAAACTGTCAACTGTAGGGTCAATAATCTACTCCCACATTGTCACCCAAACGACAACCACCAGCACAGCATACTGAGTTTTCCAGTGGCTATCATGATGTCCCCAACAGCATCGAAGGCTGTCGTGCAGTGGGAACCAATCTCCTCCAGGATCATGACAGCAAGATCCAATTCAAAAGGAAGGAGAGTCACAATCATACAATGCTACGCCACACACCTACAAATATTGCAGATGAAGAGAAGAAGTAGTAATTCCATGGACAACTTCAATCAACACTGGACAAGACGTCAGTTGGCGATATCAAAATTCTAATGGCTGACATGAATGCCAAACTGGGAGGGGACAACACAGGAAGAGAACTAACCATGGGTCGAGAAGCACTCGGTGAGGTGATGAACGAGAATAGAGAATTGTTTGCAGAATTCTGTGCATTCAATGATTTGGTGATTGGAGGCCAGGCAGTGTGTTCAAGCACAAGGATATCCACAAAGCGACATGGATTTCACCAGATGGACATACCAAAAATCAAATCGACTTTTTCTCTATCTCAAGAAAATGGAGACTCAGTCTACTGAACACAAGGTCAAGAAGAGGAGCAGATGTAGGTTCAGACCACTATCTGGTGCAAGGAACCCTCCAAATCAAGTTGAAAGCCTTCAAGGAAGCTGGTGATAGACCGCAGTCCAAGTACAACACTCGGAAACTGAAGTATGAAACTACAAAGGAGATCTTCACAGCAGCCATCAAGACAAAATGGGAGATATCGAGGAACATCCCTGAAGAAACCTGTGTGGAAGAACGCTGGGAGTCTTTGAAAGAGACGTGGAAATAAACCTGCACGGCCGTATTAGGTAGGAAGAAGAAAGAAGACAAGGAATGGATCTCAATGGATACATGGAAGCTGATAGAGGAAGAGGAGGATGGTGAAGCAGAAGATAAACCAGTGCAAGGATGCTCAACGACAAGAGGGACTGAGTACAATGTACAAAGCACTGAACAAAGAAGTGTAGAAGAGTGCAAGGAAAGACAAAAGACACTTCTAGGAAACACTGGCAAGTGAAGCAGAACAGGCTGCAGGTAGGAAAGACAGAAACCTGACAACATTGTATCAAATAACCAGGTTGCTATCTGGGATGAGATCAACGCAGACGAAACCAATAAAAGATGAAGAAGGAAATTTAATTACGAAAGAAGAGAAACAGAGGAAACCATGGGCTGACCTCTTCAAGAAGCTCTTGAATCGACCATCACCTACACTTCGTCCAGAAATACCACCTACAGACACAGAACTACAAGTGAACATAAATCCTCCAACAAAAGTCGAAATCCTGAACGCCATAAGGCTACCGAAATGTGGGAAAGCAGCAGGACCAGATGGGATCCCGCCAGAAGCACTGAAAACAGACGCAGAGACAACAGTAGACATGCTCACACTACTGTTGCAGAAGGTGTGGAAGGAAGAGAAGGTACCTGACGATTGGAAGAAGGGTTACCTTGTCAAACTGCCGAAGAAGGGAGACCTCAGTGCTTGCAAGAACTGGCGCGGAATCACTCTCCTGTCCACCCCAAGTAAAATATTAAGCCGCATCATCCTGGAGAGGCTTAAAGATGCACTGGATTCAAAACTACGACCGCAACAGGCAGGCTTCAGGAAGTGCAAATCATGTGCCGACCAAATTGCAACGCTTCGCATCAGCATAGAACGGAGTATAGAATGGCAGTCAACTCTCTTACCTCAACTTCATCGACTTCGAGAAGGCCTTTGACAGCGTCGACCGAGAGGTAATTTGGAAACTGCTTCAATACTACGGAATACCTCAAACCTTTATCAGCCTCATTCAACAACTATATGAAGATGCCACATGCCAAGTAATTCACAATGGGAAGCTCAGTGATGCTTTTGAATTGAAGACAGGAGTAAAACAAGGTTGCCTACTATCCCCCTTGATATTCCTGATTGTGGTGGACTGGATCATGCAGCAAACAGTAGGCAGCGAGAAGAGGGGGATACGCTGGACTGTGGGAAAGAACCTAGAAGACTTGGATTTCGCCGATGACTTGTGCCTGATGTCACATAAACTTGAAGATCTACAGGCAAAAACTAACAAGTTGATAGAAGAGGCAGCGAAGACGGGACTTCAGGTGAATATAGAGAAGACAGAAGTGATGAAGATACCGCACCAACACCAACAACAACAACAACAAACTCCAGTCACCATCAACGGAAGAAACTTAAAGGAAGTAACCTCCTTCACCTATCTAGGAAGCACTGTTTCAACTACAGGCGGCGGCACAGACGAGGATGTCAAAGTCAGGATCGGAAAAGCAAGACAGGCGTTCATTAACCTGAAACCAGTGTGGAGATCTTCTGCACTCAGCATGCGGAACAAGATACGGATTTTCAACACCAGCATCAAGTCAGTGCTTCTGTATGGTTGAGAGACTTGGCGCGTCACGAAAGGGATTTCCAATAAACTACAAACATTCATCAACAATTGCCTACGCCTGCTACTGAAGATCAGATGGCGAGAAAGAATAAGCAGCAAAAAGCTCTGGGAACGAACCAACAACCCATCATGCAACAAATATGCAGGAAGGAAGTGGAGATGGATTGGGCATACACTGAGAAGGCCGACTGGTGACATCACGCTTCAGGCCCTCGAGTGGAATCCCCATGGGAATCGACGAGTTGGACGTCCATGGGTGACATGGAGGAGATCGTGTGAGGACGAAATGAGAGCTTGTGGGCTGTCGTGTAGCCAGGTTCAAAAGATTTCAGAGAACAGAGGTCACTGGAGACGCGCTACTGAAGCCCTATGTTCCATTAGGAACCCAAAGGACTAATAATAATAATAATAAAATATGGACTTGCATAGATACTTATTGCAAGTGTTTAAAATATAGACAAAGATTCACAATTAGGCTTGCAATTTCAAGCAATGAAACAGTGCTGCACAAGTGAACATCTTCTACCAGTCACAAATTGTATTTCTCATTCAGTGGGATGCTCGCTGAGAAGTTGGAAAGATTCGTTCAGGTTTGAAAGCAAAAGAACCATAGAAAAAGCAAAAGTGGTAGTCTCCTTCGAAACGCCCGTTTTAGGAGTCATCATGTTTCTACTACGGTACTGTCAAGGTAGTGACTGTAGACGTTTGCATGTGTCATATAAATTGACTTCATTTTGTATAAAATGATATTAGCTCTTTGGTTTCAGAAAACGGATTGCTTTGAACATAAGGAATAAGATGTCTGTTACTGATAAGTTCTGGTCATGACATAACCATGCTCGAATTGTTTGCTATTCTATATATCATCAAATATCTGAAAGTGAACGTGTATTTCTGAAAAGTACCAGAAGTTGTACATTTATCATCCAGTGAATTAATTCAGTGGCGATAGAAAAGACAGTTACCTTTGAAAATGGTTTGTTCAGCTGCAGCGACAACTCCTAGAAGGTCTTTGTTTGTCATATTCCCAAGCTGAAAAAATAAGAAAACTGAATGATTTATATGGTTGACAAAGCGATTTTGATGTTTAATTAGGTTTTAGCTAGTAATCGTTGATAATATCTTAGATATAACTGCATGGAAGGATTAGTTTCGCAACTGACCCATATTATTTTTCGGCATTAATAGTTTTCTGTTGCTGATTTCACTTGACTAGTATGGTCTCACTCTGTTGCTATATTGTCTGCCTGAAATCAACTCCTGCCTCTTACTTTGAATTGTATTTTGATGTTATTCGGCTGTTGGTGGTTAGCATTACGATGCAATCTGTGTTTCTTGGTATTGTTCGCTTAAATGGTGGCTCTTATGACGTATCAACCCAGTGGTCAGTGATCTGGCATACGAACCTATGACTGGTGAAACCGAGTATCGCATGGAACACCATCACTTACTCGGATGCAAGTTAAGCTGGCTGGTGCATCTAAGATAGAACAAAACACCTCTCCTGGAATCCATCACTAACTGTTAAGGGGGAATTAATTCACACCAGTCAATTTTAATCACAAACCCAAATAAGTTGCGTAACCAGTGATAATATTGAATACTTGATAGCTCTTAAGATGTGATCATGGATTTTAAGCGTAAAGGACATTAAAGTTTTCTCCTGATGAAGAAAGGACCTACAGGTACCTGCTTTTAATAACTGTGGGACGAATATAAACCAAAGAGACTTGTGCAATGCACGACGTATTCACCAGTTATTATGCTTCCAGGTTATCAACCGTTTTCGTGCACTCAAATAAATTTGATTTTTCTGGCAGTCATTTTATACATCTGATAACACTTTACCAAAAAGAATTTTACTCATATTTTAGTCATTAAGCTTACGACTTTTAATTGATCTACGAGGCCTTAGAATAAAAATACTAGTCAGCACCACAATGATATCTAGGTAATAATTGTGTTACTGAGATTTATTTGTGTCTAGTCAGTAGTGTTTTTTAAATCTGGTAACGATTAGCAACTCTTGAAAATCTAAAATTACCCACTTAGACCACTAGGGATGAGAGTCATTACTTGTGTAATAGGTGAAACTTGTTGTTTGTTGATACTTATGATTTCCTGTTGTTTTAGTGGGTTGAGTTACTCCACTTCTGTTGACAGATTTGTTTACTTGATATATTTCGCACAGTGATACAGTATTATTTACTTGGTGATGTTCTGAGCGTAACCATATCAATGTAATCACACAACTTTCGACATTTGGTTTTTATGGTTACGTCATCTCATATGGTTTTTTTTATTGGTAGTAGAATTTTCCATATCTCTTATACTGGCGTTGCGTCATTTCTATTACATGTGTTGGCTGTTGATTCGATGAACACAGATTCAGTAACCAACCTCTCTCTTCACTCTATTATCTGGTTGTGTGTTAATGCATGCTATGCAATCTCCGAGTTTTTTCTAGATAACTGATATTATTCGGGTCTGTTATTCTATATTTAGCCAAATTCCTATGTTCGGCTATTCTAACTGATCCCGACCGGCTAGTTTGACCTACGTACTTGATCTCACAGTTATTACGTGGAAGTTGATAGATCAGTTTATTTTGCTGAATTGGTTCTGTTGGATCTTTAAGCTGACAAAGCTAATCTCTGAGTGAGTTTGTAGGTTTAAATGCCACCCTAATACCAGCTTTGTTGGGGGTTTTATATAAAGTTTCTGATGTGCCTTCGTTATAGGGTAACACAATGGAGGCTGTGAACTCCTTTCTGCTTGTGTTGTCACTATTATTTGTGCTAGTGTTTCTGTTATTTTTTCGTTTCTTGTGTGTTCCTACGAATTTCTTGATAAACTACAGAGGATAACTATTAACTATTAGTAAGAATAATAACGATAACACAAGTAGAAAGGAGTTCTAGCTACTTGAAAATAGCAGCAGAAAAACCAATGACCTTGTCGGCAGAGGACATTCGGTTACCGCGCTGCCGATGAGCGTAAATCAGATATCCATACATAAACGCATTTCAAGGACGATGGTCTGACATCCAACACCAATTGTCCAAGTGGAAGAAACTTGTAGCTTTTGAGTTCTTACTTTCAGGTCTGGAAGCTCAGCCCTTTTTTTCACTTACACTCCTTCGATGGTCGCAGAAGTTTTTACATTTTATCTACCCATCGATTTGAAGATAATGATTGTCTATCATGTGACTATCTGAGATAGCCGCAGTTTGGCAGACTAGTATTTATACTGGGTGATAATTGAAGGTGAGATGAAAATCTGAACCGCGGCCGGATTCGAACTAGCGACCACTGGGTGACCGATTTGGTGTTCTACCAACTGAGCTATGAGGTCAGAAAGCTGACTAGAATTTGACTTCATTCACGTTGACCTTGTAGCTCAGTTGGTAAAGCAGCGAGCCAGTTACCCAGTGGTCGCTGGTTCGAACCCGACCGCAGTACAAACTTCCATCTCACCTTCAATCATCACCCAGTATAAATACTAGTCTGCGAAACTGCGGCTATCTCAAATGGTCAAATGATAAAAAATATGAACTTCACAATTTTATACTAAAACAGGCAGCATGAGCTGTAAATCTATAGATCAGTCTTAAGATGTTCAAAGTGATCTGGAAGCCAGCTTATCTTGTGGTGCATGTACTTTGCATGAGAAAAACCCTGTTGTTTGTTGGGATAAAACTATACATAACGGAACGACACCCATACTTGATTCTCAGGTGGTAAAGTAGGCAGTTATACTATAGATGTGGGCTAGTGTACAGCAACCTATTGTCTTCAAATACCTTAAGGTAGTATAGCAATTCCAAAGTAAATTTACAACCAAAGTGGCATATTATCAATAACCTTGAAATACCTTAGAATTACTACTTAAACTTTGATAAAGTCTTTACAAGATAATTAACTAAGCTGTCGAATATGAGTAACCTATTTATTTATAAGGACAGCCAAAGTTCAAGATGAACGTAACAGCAAACGGATCATTCATTTTTAAATTTTATTGTAACTTATTGAAAAGTCCTTCACTAAACGAGTGCATTCTTCAAGAAGAGAGATATGAAGTTTAACAGTTTTACGTTTGTTCATTTGCGCGTTGTTTCCCCTATCAGACTGAGACCCAGCAGGTGGCAAGTTGCTCTTCTAAGAAAATCACGCTGTTACGTCTAATCATATGTAATAGTGTGACTGCATATTACTGGAGAATTTCGCGTTCAGACGAAATAGCTCTATGGTCCATTGGTTTCTGAGTGATATTTTAGCTGTCATTATCTCTAGGTGAAGACGAGCTATGAACAACTTTTCTCCAGATTGAAATTCGTCATGAAATAACATCATTTAGAGAAACATTTGAAACCTGAGAGCACTGGACAACTGTTTTATCTTAGTTTGAAACGATTGGATTACGACCCAGCGGCTCTATGGTAACGTGCTGGCGGCAGAACCTGAAGGTCTTGGGTTTGATCACTGGTGGGAGCATGGATGCACACCCTAACCCTGCTATGACGAAACAGCTGTCCAGCGCTTTCAGATGTCCACTGTTCTTCCGACTAATATCAGTCCATGGTGAGTTTCAACCTGAAATCAACTAATAAATCTCTACAAACCTCCAGATCGAAATTTTTTTTCGTTCACTCATCTTTTTTGGAAAACCGGAGATTCAGTTCTCTTTCTAAGAATCATTAGAGCGTTTATCTTCCTTTATCACTTATATAAATATATACTGTTTCACATTTTATCTATTAGATTAAATGTGGTTTGATAAATGATCTGAGAAGTAGTTATTCAACAATTTGTTTATTTAAACTTTTAAAATGAATGATACTGTCCAATGTGACTTACTTTAAAGAAAACACTGAGAGCAAGGATTCCATTAGGACGATAAGATGCATATGAAAAGTTGTGATATAAGTCACTGTTGAATGCATAAATTTGTAACTGTAACAGAATGTGACAATTTCAAATCAAAGATTAGTTTCAATATTTATTTTTATTTTAACAAAGAAAATAAACTAAGCATTGACATAATTTCAAACCATATTTATCATCAACTTTTTCTATTTCTGGCAATTGAACTTGTAATGTTATCTACAGTTTAGGATTAGAGTTGATCTTTTCATTCTATTATCTATTGTTAAGCAAAATCATTTAATGATGGCAAATATTGAGTGGTTTTTTGAACTGTTTCGTGTTGTCAATAAAATAGTCAGAGAAATCCTTTTTTTAAGCAGACTATGAGCTATGTATGTGGGCCTGCTTAAACATTTATCTGCCAAAATATTTTCCCATCAAATATATTTAATCGAATTCTTCCCTTGCAATTTGTTTTAATCTTTGAAGTGTATCCTCTCAGTGTTTCATGTACTGTCGTACATCTTAATAAAAGCTTTCAATCTGCCATTTTTTAAGCCAACAACAAAACAAAGAAAAAACTTTACGCCGGTAAGAAATTTACTCATAAGTACTCAAGAATACAGCACATTATAACTCTTAAGATAAGTATGTTGAATTACAGATTTTTGTTCTGACTGAATAAACTACAGCCACTAAAACCATTATCGATTTTCTGTTCATTCACCAGTTCGGACCAAACGCTAATGTAGCACCAACTATCTGTTTCACATTATTGCCTTTAGTACTATTGTTATTAACAATTATTAAGACACAATAATTATCTCTGTAAAAAATATTATTCAGGAAAAGAATTTATTAAAATATTACACGAAGAGAATTCCATACTGTATTGCACATGGTGTTTCGAATATAGCGATTATTATTATCATTATTATTATAACTATTATTATCGTTATTATTATTATCGTAGCTTTGAACTTAAAAATATATGCTTATTTTCTCATGCAGTAGTGTATATGTTTTGAGACAAAAATTGTAAAGAAGATAGTGAGCAGTGACTTGTAAACAGCAGAATATAACAGTGGAGATGTATTCAAGTTCTTCTGAGTAAAATAATTGTCTTCATTGGTTGGTAACTAGAGGGTAACCAAATTCATGTTTCCTAGTTCTAAGTGCTAGTCGAACTCAATTGATCATTTTACAGTTTGGCCACGAGACTGGGTATCTCAGCACTGTGATGCATTTCGATGGGTGTTAGTTAGATGGAGGCCATCGGCAGGAAGCCCTGGATCTAGGTTTCGTCCTTATCGGCACTCATTAGTAAGGCTTATCAACAGCCTCTAAGGAACTGATGTCGCGCTTGGGATTCGAACCCGCATCTCCTAGTGCTGGAATTATACAGTATGAAGTTGATTACCTTCTAGTGACCAATCAGTATATTTAATTCAGTCGTACGGGAGGTCAGTTGCAGCCCGAATCGCTCAACAGTAACGTTTCTGCCTGCATCATTGGGGAATCGGGTTAAAATCTCAGGCGGGACATTGATTCCGTAGACGTTACAGATTTGCCATGCTGACGCGTGCCAATAAGCACGACACCTAGATCCAGAGCTTTCTGTCGATTGCCTCCACTCAACTAAAATGATAGTCTTTTAGGTCCTACAAAAGCTTTAGTGGGGGATTGCTTCGAAGTACTCCATCCAGACACTGAATTTATTTTTAAGAGAAGAAGCTGACGAAATAAGCGATGCTTAAATCTTAAATCTTAGACCAGTGATGGAACTCAACCATTTTGGTTTGATTTTATACTGTGAAACGACACTCTCTTGTGTAAACAGCCTGGTTTTTATTACTGACTATGAAATATCGATTTGTCAGACTACTTTAAGTGGCTGTAAAAACAATATTCAAAGGGAACAAGGGAATCCATTTTAGTTTTCTCTCCAGTGTTCAAAGTTTGAGAGCCATTTATAGAACAAATATATTCAGCTTCTTCGGTTCAAGGAGGAAATGGACTAATACAAATAACTCCAGAAGTGACGCATACTAGCTAATGGTATGTAAATGCAAGGTACCATAGATTATTATCACAGTATAAATTCTATTTATCTATTTTAACCTAAACAACTAGGCACACTGAAAATAATGTATGACTACCTAACTCTTCCCATCAATAACTATGTCTTACAACCTTTTATCCCACTGTTAAGTGATTTCTCATTAGCTGAATCCGAAGGTGGGAAATATCAGTGTATATGGACAGTCTAGAAAAATGCAGCCTGTTCATCAGCCAAATTCTGTTTTGCAGTCAAGTACAAAGACTTAAGTTGTCAAATTGAAATTATGTTTTTGTTCAACAGTGAAAGCGTAATTTAACTTCCCTCTCATTCACTAACTCACATACAGAGTGATAGTATACTGATATTTCTTGCCTAGTAAATTTCAATTTCTTTTCTTTATTCTGTGCAATGAAAAGTTTATAATGAGAAGTAAGAATGAAATAGGTGTGTTAATTCTCAGTTTTCAATTTTTGAAGAAAGTTTTATTTGAGACAAAAAGAATTTCACTTTATATCAGGTGAAATGAAGTGAAAATTTTTAAATTGTAGCCGACTGAAAACAGTCAGTGTATGGTTTAAAAGTGTTTTGAAAATCATTTAGTCGATTGTTATCGTACAACATATGTGATTAGTTTTATATATATATATATATATATATATATATATATATATATGTAACAGCAATAGGAGTGAGTAAATTCGCTTAAAATACTTTATCCATCACATTCACTGTGATTATGAAAAAATGAGACGGAATAGTTTGATACTAAGAAAGTATTCGTGTCGATAAACAAGTTATCACGGTTTTACACTAGAAAGAATGGAACATTCTAGAAGAATTTTCAGTCAGGGATATATTACGAATAAAATAATTAGCAAGAAAAGTAACCAGTACAATAAGAAATAAAGTATGGTTAGATTAGAATCCATTTACCCAGAATAGTGAACATTTCATCGTTATGCTGGCAGATATACAGGCTACAAATACTTTTTTTCAACGCAAGTTCTTAAGGTATGTATTTGCGTAGAACCTCGACAAGAAGTTCTCTGTGCATTATATATTCTTTGACTTAACCACCTTTCCTGTTTTTCTAATATTAGGTTCACTTGATAATTTTGAACTCGAGAAGAACAAACTTCATTGATTTTATCTAGTGTTTTCTTATCAGCTACACATAGTCTAAAATTCCAACGATTGTAATATGTGATGTATAAGTGTGTGACATAACTCGACTCTAAAAGTTAGAAATGAATTCTTTAATCACAGGGAATAAGTTAAGAGAATGTAGATAGCAAAATTACAGACTGTAATCGCTAGAACAAGACAACCCAATTTATTTCAATAAAACGATGGTTGAAACATTGTTTCAACACTTCCTCAGCCATGTACCAATGAATCACAACTAGTTACCAGGCATTTAGTGCAGAATCGCTTTACTCTGAAGGGGATCTGAGGTAAAATCTTAAGTTCATACAGATTATTGGGGGGATGAGGCAAACATTACCCAAAGTAATCAGAATCTGACATGGTGATGGCTAATTAGAAACACATGTTCAAAACTCCATCGAGATAATCCTAGTAAAATTACGTTACAAAGTCTTTTGGAAAGACTATGCAAAAATCTGAGAATCTTTCTTTCTTATTCTCCAGTCATTCATCATTCAGGGTTTAATGTGAGACTGTAAAACACAATCTTGCTTCAACTGGTTACCGTGTACATACTAGAAGTGACTGTTTTTGAAGTGTCGTTTACATATGGTGGTTGATTTTCATTATTCCTCTTTGGATACAAGTCAACTGTAAGTTTGCCTTTAGTCCAGAACAAACTTATATGTTGGCTAAGTTAGTGAGCACTAAACACTGCGTAGAACCTTATGTGATTTTCAATATGATACACTATATGTCCAACAAACAAGATATTTTGGAGTCCATCCACCTCTTCTCTATGCATTTGAAACCAGGATAACAGAGCTGTCTAAAAGTGAACCATTTATTCAAAAAAATAATGTTTTGGTGTTATTATCTATTCTTGTAATACACCTTGGGTTTTAGGAGAACTCAGTGTGATTAGATTAATTTAAGTGACAATTTCAAGCTTTTTATTGACGTTACTATTCTTGTTATGATGTCATTTCAGTGTGTTTAGCACATTAACCTGTATCATAACTAACTCGGACTATTTCTATCATTTTGTTTGCCAGGGAGATGCTATAATAAAAAACTTCATTTTTTCTTTCTCATCAAATCCCATCTTTGTTCCTGATCACTTTTTCATCATTTTTAAGACGGGTAAATGCAAGTCACTTTGAAATTCGTGTACTCTAATTTTACTAAAACTCCATTGGTTACTGGTGGACTGATTAATTTCAAAGTATCTTTTGTTATGGATTGACAAAAATGGGAAAATCATCGAACCGCCGTATCAAACATATATTTTCGTATGAATTCATGTTCCATAGAAGTGAACGTTAACAATTTAACTTAACACCAACAAGCTTTTACGTATGCATACTGTCATGCAGTCACTGAGTTAGAAATCTAGCGTTCTGTGATGATTGGTCACTAGACGGCAACCAATTTTATGTTGTCTGTTGCTTCCTGAGTACAGACCGAATTCTGTCGATCACATTTGCAGTATGATCACCTAACTAGGTGGCTCAGCATCGTAGTGCACATTCATAGATATTAGTTGGTTGAAGGCACTTGACAAAAAACCCGTGTTTCATTTAGATTCCGTGCTTGTTAACATTTATCAGCAAGGGGTGTCTGCAATTCAATGGAACTGATGTCCTCTCTGAGATTCGAACCTCAGTCTTCACCGAAGAGCAAGCAACTAATTTCTTATTGTCTAACCCTGAATACTCACCAAATTCTATTGATTTTCAATGTTTACTTATCTCCAGTGCAGTATGATCATGATCTTATATCATTAGTTGGCATCTGTCTTTAAACTCGGCTTCATCTCACAGATCAAAGTTCATAAGTAAACCTTGGGAACCCCTCAGCATAGTCAGTCATTTATTGG